CAATAATTACACTCTATTGTCGTGTGTGATACAAATAGGAAAATAATCACGGTTGGAGTATTATATCGCGAGTGTCCTTAGCATTAAATTCCTCCAAACCGGTGTTGCCAGTACATTCCTCTCTTCCTTAGATGTGATATAATAGCTAAGATGTAATTAAGCCTAATTTCTGCATAACAAACAAAACTGCAAATTTTGTTTGCACGCAAATTGAGCAACAAGTTTAATTCAGGTACCACGCTATTAAAACTCATATTTTTTAGAGAATAATCGACATTATAATAGCTTGAGATTAGATTCGACAAGTTTTTCTAGGACACAAGTGGACAATTTACCACTTTACTATAATTTAATAATAAATAGTTCGGAATTAATTATTTACAAGTGAATTACCCAAATTGACTTGTTTTCGAGAAGCACTCATATTAATTAATAATGCAAGAATTATTTTTCAGGTGCTAGAAAATTACGACAATAAATTTGAATTATATTGAATGAAAAAGGTATAATTTAGTACTGTAAACGGGATACACAGTACTTCGTTCTGACTTCGTCTATGCTATATTTTCATAAAAATTGTATTTAAAATGCCCTCGAAGGAGAGCACGGTGGGCAAAAGTGGTAAACCTTTGAGTGGGTCAAGTGGTAGAACGCGAGACTTCGGTCCTGGAGGTCTCGGGTTCAATCTCATCGATAATGCCTCAGCCTCTAAGACTGCAATCGAACAATTTCTCTCCTACTTGAAAGAAAAAGCTTTCACGTGAAAGACTAGGATTTGTAACAGCGTATTAGAAGGGTTGATCCTAATCGAAAACTATGGTTTTGGACCACAAGTCCAACTACTAACACTCCAGACATAGCCCGATCCCATAGTAGCGGGAATCTGTACCAAGACACTGCTGGTGTCGATGGTGCTGATCGTAGCTCGTAGGTCACGTCTGAGGAATTACAAAGTCTAACTACGGTCGTGTATACGAGAAGGTCGTTGTAGTTCAGTTAATACACACCACATTAGCATTGACTGATGCGGGATACCAGTGTCGTGTCTGGTGACGCCACGTACGCACACCCACCATCGCCCACACAGAGAGCGAATACGTTGTCAAATTGATACTACTCGATAAAGTGACGCTGGCTTAGGATACTGCATGACGTTTACGCTATTACACACTACTCCAGTCTTAGAGGTTCCCTGTTATCTTACAGGTAAATTCAATGGTAACTGATGGGATTTGAGCCCATAACATCGGGAACGGTCACCTCGTGCTCTATTACTACAACAGCAGCTCTCACTCCTGGATACTGCAATAATTAGACTTCTCAGAATATTAAGAATACGATAAAAAATTACAGAAAGCGTTGGTATGGATAAACACTTCTAATTTGAAGATAAATTATACTATGCCTTCTTCGTTCTGTACTCTTTGATTCTCCCCGCGCACATGTCTTGCATGATAACTAAAAATCTTTAATGAAGTAGATTTTGATTTGCTTCTGACTTGATTTTACGAAACCGTGAGAGCAATAGTTGACAAATATATTGTTTAATTTGGGTTAATTAGTGTGTATAGTGAGATTAATAGTTTAAATAAAACATACGCGGTAGTTACATACATATGCTACCTTAAAATTCCCTGCATAAACAACATCGAAGGTTGAGAAGTAGTACAAGTTGAATGTTATATAAATGTCAATTAAACAATTTTTAATCATATTTTCAAAACGGTGTCTCTACAATATCATTGACCGCAACAGTGACCCTAACACCCGTCAAATGTTAATGTGCGGATTAAGACGGTGACACACTATCGATCTTTTCCCCGAACAAGACCCCGAACCGAGCAGGGAGAAGGGAGAAGGGAGGTCGAAGGGAGGATGTTCGATAGTGTGTCACGGGTCCGTACACCGATCAAGACGCCGAACAAGACATCAGGCCGAGCAGGGAGACGAGCGCTCTGGAGGCGGTTTTTTGGCGAAAGATCAAAGAAAAGATCGGTCCGATGTACGGTCCGATGTACGATAGTGTGTCACGGTACATTTTTGCCCCGTACATCGTCGCGAGCGCCGCACCGAGCGGCCGCCTGCGCTAGCATTGATAGTTCCGCGCTCTCACTCGCACACACTCTCTATCTCTCTCCAAACTTCCTTTTGCCGCGCTCGGTAGAATTCGTCTGGTCTTGGTCATGTTCGGGGAAATGTTCGGAGTAAAATTTTGCTGATATTTATCTCCCTTCTCCCTTCTCCCTGCTCGGTTCGGGGTCTTGATCGGGGAAAAGATCGATAGTGTGTCACCGCCTTTAGCCCGGATTCCCTCCCGGGTCACTAATGTAGCGGAAAGGTTCGAGGATGCGGAAACTGACCTTTCGAGTCCATCTCATCACCTTCGCCCACCTGATTCATCTCCAGATTAAATAAATTGCACATTACGTTGAATGAGTCGCTTTAAACCAACGGGGGAAACCTGCTATACGTCCTAACGGTACTGCCCGGCCTGCACTGCAGAGGTCGTATATTCCGTTTACGACTCCGAAGTGGGTTCCGAATTTTGGCTGAAACTGACTATTAATCATAGAAACGTGGTTTCTGAAGCGAACGTCGGACGGAATAGATTAACGGTTATTGCTACAAGGTAACAAGACGTGCTTTGAGGTTATGAATCACAAAACACAAGATGAATATTAAAACGGTCCAGAATAAGGTAACATTTCTTCGCGGGAATTTAAATATTAATGTACACCTCTATACAGTAGTAGCAAGTAAGTACACAACGGTAATGAAATATCTCGATTCAAATGCAACTCTAAAACAATTAAACCCCATAGCTTTTGCCTATAGCATATACACTATTATTATTTACCATGAAATATCTTTGTGTACATGTTCTATGGTGGGACTTCGAATCACAAAAAAAAACCCAAAAACGCTTCTTATAGAAACATTATAGAACACATATTTGCTATCGTTTAATGTATCCAAAATCATCAATTAGACTATACTGAGAATGCGAATTTATTTGTGCAAAAGGTTTTGAGAATTATTTAAAGTTTTAAGATGAAGATGTTATTAGGTTAAAACAGTGCGATGTTAAGTCGACAATCCTAAAACAGCCGAAGAACAAGTATTTAGAAGCTAACGCAGATGCAATTTATTGTACATAGACTAATAACTCCGAAAGGTCGATTTGCAACGGTTAAATTGCCGCTAACACTTTTTGTAAAACTATTAGTACTTTTTTTTTTGTTTAACACACTTATACAAACAAACATGGTATTATTCTTTTGCGTTATGAATTCAACCGAGAATCACAAACGTATCTTGGGACTCCTACTTGGCAAGAGACTTTCAGTGATTCTTGCAGTCCACAACAGGTACAACTGCCATTAGTATTGCCATTGGCGATGATCCGAATATTGTGAGTCCAGGTAGGTCTGGTCTGTACTCGGACGGAATATCCAAGTCGTTCCCATCGCAGAGTGCGTGCGTTCACACGGGCGTGCGGCCACGCAACTTCGCACATACAGTCACCTCTTCCTGTACATCAGTGTCAATCAACGCAGAGTTTGGGGAAAATCTTAGTTTAGATAACACAGAATCGCTAGGAACTCTCTAAAGCTGGTCAGAAAATGTCTATAGTTTAATGCAGCGTTGGCTAGGGTAAAATTGCATCCGTGCAATATTAATCAAATACTCAGATTATTATTGTAAGGTAGTTAAGATTATCCAATCGTTTCGTCGCTTAGGAACGCTTGGTTTATGGCCCACCCCGAGAGACCCGAATTAGTGCAGGTATAATTGACGGTAGGATACTGCCACTCTTAAGATAAACCCTCATTGTTTGTCATAAGCTACTTTTCTACATAATGTAACGGTGTACACAGTCAACCAGTCACGATTGCGCAGTGTCCCCATGAAACACGGAATCTACGCATGCGCAATACTTCCCACACGCACCACTGACACTTCACACTTCACACTGGCCACAGTAAACCTGTAACAATATAATTGCGAGTCGTGGGTTTCAATCGACACCGGAGAGGTGGAATCTCAACAAGTCAGCCTCAGATAATGGAGCTGTCTAGTGCTAGGCGCGCTGTACGCTGTACACTGTACGCTGTACGCTGTGCGCAGGCGCGGTAAGGTGCACAACGTATTGCGCACGCGCGCACTCAATGGCTTCTCTCGTAAAGTCTCACGCACGACGCGTCGTAAACGTCGCATATATCTCTGACCCTGACCTTGGAGCCTCGGCACCGCCTGCACGATCAGACCTACATACTAGAGGGTGATATATTGTTTGGTAATGTGAGAATCCAAGTCCTAGGTGTTGCTTGAGGATGCCCACCATCTATATCTAAGTTTATGCAAGTACGATTCCGGTTCGAAAATTTAAGCTTGCCAAACCAATGACCAATGAGATAGTTCCTATAAGAGTTTGCAAAGATTAGACAATAGTAATGCTATGTTCTAGGTTAGTAATCAATTCAATTGAATTCTTTAATTCGGCGACGGACACTGGTCCGTATTTTAAGCTGAATATGAATGCACGATCAGGGTAGAATTGAGTAAGATGAACTGTGTAACTACGCACCAAGACCAGCTGTTTCTTAAGCAGGACCATTTATTTAAAGCCCTGTCACGTAAGTTAGTCGAGAAAAACTGTTTTACTGTTCATCGTTAGAAGACAACAATTTTTACAGTTGATGATGAAAATAATCCATCATAAATTTGGTTTCATCGTGTAACTGTAAAAGGAAGAATTCAATTCGGCTGCAAAATTATAAACGTCGTGCGAGTGTTTTAGGTCCTGCATTTTCAGGGTACATCACCTGCCAAATCCTGAAGCTAAGGCGGTTGTATCTGATAATTGTGTGAACAGCTGGTGCCGAAAACGCAGCCTTATTTGGCGGCCAAATTTGCAGCTATAAACCCCGCTTCAGGCCCAACCACTGATTACATTTCATATTTCTTCTAGACGTCTCTAACATTGCTTCTGTTTGCAGATCCGCTAACTACAACAACGCCACAGGAGAGTGCGAGTTGTCCGACATGGACCGTCTGACGGTCGCCGGGTCCGGAGCCTTCGACGCCGCCGCGGGCTACGACTACCTGGAGAACAACTGTGTGGAGGAGCCCGTCAAACTGTGCGAGTTCAAGAAGCTCAGTGGACGGATCCTCAAGACAGTAGACTCTGTCTACCAAGAGGTCGACTCGGCAGAGGAATGCAGAGATCTGTGTCTCAACTCGCCCTACAGATGTCACTCGTACGACTACGGCGACACTGGCGAGCAAGTGTGTCGACTCAGCCATCACTCCAGGGCAACGCTCGCCGACATACAGGTAGGACACAGGTTAAAGTTGAAAAGTTGAAATCATTAAACCAATTAAAGTTGTAAACACAAAGTCGCTGTCACTACTGAAACCCGTTACAATTATTCACAGTTGCATGAAAAGCTATTAGGAAAAATAGTAAAGGAGAACATCTAGATCGCTGCGGGGTGCGGGACCGACTGAACTTGGGTCAGTCGTCTGTCTCGTATTCTGCCGCAAAATACCCACCCTACTGAATCCGGCAGCTAGGAAAAACGCAGCCGAATCCGTAACCGAATTTAGCAGCTAGGAAAACCGGCATTAGAACAGATGTTCTAGGACGTTCAGTTAAGATTTTCAATCGTTGTCCAAACTATTAGTAACGGTGCTCCTCCAATCATCCGAAGGACTAGTTTTAACCCCAGAACTAGGACAGACGGTTTCCTAGATGCTGATTTGTGACATGCGACACACGCAAGGACTGCAAGCTTATTGCCATCATTCCACAATGAAGCGGTCGCGGACCATTGTGTTCACAATGCGCCGGTTTCACAGCGTTCCCATCCACGAATATTCCATTCCCTCCATATTAATGCGGCATTGTATTACTGACCCATAAAACACCCAGTTCAATTGGCTCCGGATTGACATGTCTCCGTTCTAACGGATCTTCCTATGCGAATGTCGCTTTTATCAACCATTCTTCTGCGTTCGCGTGTCGGATTTTTAATTGGCGCTTCTCATTGCATTCGAATGTCACTGTTCCAGTTCGTAGTATAAACGCACATAATCAGAAATAGATGTGCTGAAAGTAAATTGAGCACATTCGTAAGCTTTAACTAAATGTCTTGCAATTAAACCGCTGGTACTGTGGTTTGGTTTGCTGGTATAAACGTTCCATAGTTGTACGAACAAAGGTGGTTACGTTTCTTATTAAAGTTAATTTTTCTTGTTTCCGAGTTGTTGATATGATTCTTAATAACTACAAACCCCAGGCGGCAATTACGTGGATTAAACTTCCGCAGCTAATTTTTTTATCGGATTAGTTCACTCTTGTACTTTACCCACCCACCCTTTGCACTTGATACATTCAAGCTCTTAAATATTACAATAATCAAAATGTGATTAAAACCATCCCATGGAGTTTTCATAGTTGACATCCTAAAATCTTCGATCTAAACTAACCCTTGCTAAACATTTTGCAGGACCCATATCTGGACGTACCGGAGGCCTCTACCTACGAGCTGAGTGCCTGCTACAACGTCAGCATCGACTGCAGGTCCGGAGACATGGTGGCGAGGATCAAGACCAGCAAGTTGTTCAGTGGCAAGATCTACGCCAAGGGTAGTCCCAACTCGTGTGTACAAGATGTGCGAGGAAGCTTGGAGTTTGAGCTGCGCATGGCTTACGACGACGTCGAGTGCAACGTCAAGCATCAAGGTTTGGGCAGGTGAGGAAAAGGTTAATGGTAGTTAAGTTACCTAGTATTTGAACTTGCTTTGATGAAGAAGTTTCATAATTTTGGTTTTAAGTTAGATTATTAGGGAATACTCTTAACGCTTGATAAGATTTAGTTACTCCAGGAAAACATATTATCATATAGTGCAGGGCCGAGTGCCATTACTTAAAAACTTTGACGGAAGCTCGTCGCTAATACCCCTCCCCTGAATCACTCTTACGCTCTGGGGATTCAAACAGCACTCGGTCTACCTGACGGTTTTGACAGTTTATGAACACCACGGCGAAAAATAGGCTGGCAATCGTTGACATTATCATAGACTTAATGATATTATTAAGGAAAAGAATCCAGTTACACTGAAATTCCATTACCGTTTTTTAAGAAAGTCTTTTTTACATCAAAGCTAATGCTTCCGTAGTCGCTGACACTACAAACTTGATCTTCAGGGTCCGGCCGGAACACATAAACTTACAACTGACGTTTCGGGCTCATTGCTGATGGCTTCAATCGAAGCATGTGTCAGTCTGTCTTTACTAAAGTCTTTCTCAAATGAGATGCACGAAAATAATCTTTTATTTTGTACATGTTTCGATGAAATATCAATTTAGACGTGAGGCATACTCTGAATGTACACACTGACATTTGTCTGCAGGTACCTAAACGACGTAGTGATTCAACACCACGACACTATAGTGACCAGTTCAGACCTCGGGTTGGCGGTCACTTGCCAGTACGACCTGACCAACAAGAGTGTGAGCAACGAGGTGGACCTTGGAGTACACGGAGACGTGCGGCCAGCCCTCACTGAGGAGGTTTGTACCTTCATCATGTACGATAGTATGAACGTAATTTGAAAAAGTTACCGACTAATTAAGTTACAGCATAGATAAAACATACAGGACCAGCTTTACAGTCAGTTGTTCCAAATAGTAACAATCGAGGTGTTACATGTTTCAACGGGATGCCATTGTTTAAAATATTAGTCCAGAAAATACATTAAATCCGCTTTACTAGCTTCATTGATGGTTTGCATACACGACATGTTAAATTTCCACACACGACATATAAATAAATACTTTTGATTTTATAAGCCTACGGGTACGCAAAGTTGAACAGACTGATCGTTGTCTTTGTCATCAACGGTGCAGATCCGAATGTATTCCCTCGTTTTAGTAGGGTGTTAAAACAATATTCGACTTGAACTGGAGTATGTTATTGAGATTGTATAGACCAGAAACAAAAGAACCCTGGGCCGTTTCGAGCCGCGCAGGTTTGAATGGTACGCCACACCTACCGGCGCGAACCACGTGATCTTTTCGTTTCTGCGCAGGTTGTTTTGTTCTTGGTATGTCTATAACTGTTGAAAACTGGGGTTTGTAACTGATTTGTAAATGTCAAACACCTCCAAGACACACATTTTATGACAGTAATGTAGACCTTGCAGACCAGTTCTAATGTAAAAGCTCAGGCATTCAGGATTTTTTTTATTATTCTTGTTGAGCTAGTTTAGTCTATTGTATTTTACTTTAAACTTTATTTTACGCTGTTCTAAGGATCAAGAGTTTTTTTTTTTAATACATAATGAATGTTGCCGACAAACTAAACAATATTCAATGTGACTGTCAGGTTATTGTCGACTCTCCCAACGTGGCGATGAAGATCACCGACCGCCACGGAGCTGAGGTTCTGCCCTCGGCCGAGGTAGGAGACCCGCTGGCGCTCAGGTTTGAGATCATGGACAAGAACTCCCCGTACGAGATCTTCGTGCGAGAGTTGGTCGCCATGGACGGCGTGGACTCCAGCGAGATCGTGCTCATTGACTCGGACGGCTGCCCTACAGACCACTTCATCATGGGCCCTCTCTACAAGTCGGTCGATACTGGCAAGGTAAAGGATTTACTTACGTAGGCAGTGACAATAGGTATTATAACGTGCTGTTTCGTTGACAAGTGCTGAATATTTAAAATTATCTCGAGATTCAGCTATTTTATCAAGGAACATTTATTTTTGAATATGCTTTACTGTATTGTTTCAGTTTTTTAATAGCGCAGTTTTATTTGTATGACGCAATTTTATCATGCAGAAATGTTTCTTAATAATTATGAAAGAACCCTCTGATCTTGATCAATAACAAGGATATAATCTCCTTCACTCATCTTCGCCTAAATACACATCCTTGTGCATCAGCTGCGTATATCTAATATCTGATCTAATTAGATTATAAATCATCTAATATTAGATTAGATACTATACAACTAGGCTAATCTAACCTCAGATAAGGATGTAATTTGTTCAATTTCCTCAGAAAACGAATACCAAATTAAAATTATATATAATATACCATGGTTCATCTGTCTGAATTGTGGTTTGACGATATTTTTTAGACAGGGTTCTCGAGAATAGTACATTCTTTGACGTGGACCAAGTAATACTAATACCAACACTCAATTTGTTTTCCAGGTGCTCCTCTCGTACTTCGACGCATTCAAATTCCCGTCCTCCGAAGTGGTGCAGTTCCGCGCCCTGGTCACTCCGTGCATGCCGACCTGCGAACCCGTCCAATGTGACCAAGAGGACAACAGCGGGGAGCTGAGGAGCGTCCAGTCCTTCGGCAAGCGGCGGCGGCGACGCAGCACTTCGCGAGAGGACCTCCTACTCGTGCAGTCCATCCAGATCACGGACAAGTTCGGGTTCAACCGTAACAAGTCTGTGGGTGCGGCGCGGTACGGTGACGAGATGAGCTCGATATACCTGGAGGGCGACCATGACAGTTTGTGTATAAGCTTCATCGGCGTGGTGATCGCCGGTGTTGTCTTCCTCGCGGTGCAACTGGCGGTCATCGTCGCCTGGACGTGCGTCTGGCAGCGCAAGAGCTACAAGAACACGCCCTATCTATCCGAGGGACTCAACCTCAGTGCTTCTCGCACGGACAGCCTCTGCAAACTGTACGACACGGGGTATGCCAGGAGGTTCTGAAGATGCCATCCAGTGCTCAATGGTTCGTCTTAGCAGCCAGACGACTCGTGGTGATCTGTGTGTTCATAGGAAATTCTAAAATACCAAATTGCCCGGTAACTTTTGTTATAGCTCGAAGTAAGAGTTTTAAAGTTACATTAACAGATTATTGCGAACATTATTCCATCGCAAACAAAGCATTACGTATCTGGAATTTGACCCCGTCCAATATTTAAATCTTTAACAAGAACAGTACACAAATTCAGCTGAAGTAGGAAAAACTATGAACCACCCTCAGAATAGTGCAGAAGGCATTGTGTTATCGTGTTCTTCCAGCCTCGGCTAGTTTTGTAAACTAATCTTGTAATTCTTTTCTCACCTCAGGACGGGGTCAGGTTCTATATCACAAAACGTAGTTAAAACTTTGTTTTTTACTTAGAAAACGTCCGCAATAATCTGTTGGACTTTCCAACACCAAAAATGAACTCCAAACAAGGAGTTTTAAACACGTTGACCTTTTTAAAAATTTAAACAAAAATTCTATAAAATTTTACATAAAAAGCGTATTCTACCTGGATGATTTTTATCTATTACAAACTGTTAACGACATCCACGAAAGTTTTACAGTGTTAGCTATAGGATCACCAATGACTTGTCTAGCCGCTGGGGCTTACCCTTCTTGTGATGATCCGCCTAGTGTAGAATTCCCACCCTCACCTCTCTACATGTTTTATTTTATACTTTAGCGATAATTAACTAAATGAGTCACAATCTTGAAATAACATGAAGAGACTCGTTTTAGGTTAAAAGATGCTCGGTGTACTATCCGAGAGTTCAACCACAGACAAACGTCATTTAACTGTCCATCTACAAAGTGAACAAAGGTGCTTTATTCCTTGTGGATTGTATCCGTCCTAGTTCATCATAGTTTTTAACCGTGGCAATAAATCAACTTTGCCACAGTTAAAAATACAAAATGTCTGTGGTAAGACTTTCAGCCGGTAAACCGACTCATTGTTTAAGTTTGCTGTACAAATAGAGCTTCGTTAGTTGTAAGTTAACCGTTGAGTCTAGTACGATCGTGATAATACTCACATTACCAAGATAATCCGTCGCTACCGAGGTGACAGACACGGGAAAATACTAAAAAAACACACAAAAATACTTTGTAAATACCGTTTACAGCCGAGATTATTTTGGTAGTCTGAGTATAAATTTCCAGTATGTTTGATGTTTTACCCCAACGTGTACTTTAAGATAGAAGAACAAGTGTTCGGAAAAATACCGGTAAATTACTTTAGGGAAGCACAATATATCAGCTTTTGGTTCGGTGAAAACACTTACGGTTTTACAAATCTCAGCTTTCAAATTGTGTACTATATTCGTGTACGACGAGTACATTTGCGTATATTATAGGGTAATTATAAATGTTGCAAAATCAAAGAGGAATTAGTGTAGTTTGTGTATGACAAATTGTTTCGTTTAGGAAATGTATTATAATTCTATATTTATTTCTACGGCTTGACTCTTCTCTAGTGATAATTGTGCAATACACGCTGTTTTCTACTTCCACTGTTGCCAGTATAACGTGTATTATGAGGTGCTAATCATAATGTCTCCACTTTAGTGGTCTTTTTAAATTTAAGTCGATTAGTTCGTAAGTAAGCTAGAAACAAGAACGACTTTTGAACCGTATATGAAATCTTTCAGATATACTTTAAGAGTTTGTAATTAATTTTAAGTACTGCCATTTATAGGTTCGATTCTTGTCCTTGATTCTACTCGGGTCATTTAGTAAATCGTCGATTACTAGTCTGCGATTTCCTAAATCACCCGACATTGACTAACTCTTATTATCGATTGAGTATTTATTTTATGTTGAGAAATATTTATTGCATTATTTATTTATAATGACGTTAGGATTAATGTATAACTTTTCATTGTACAGCATTATTGTCAGTGCTGAGAGCAAAAGTAAAATAAATTATTTGATACTTTGATAATGGTGTATTATGTTTTTTAATCCCATTTACAGTCCTAGATTTTTAATATTTTAAAGGATTGAAACTTAGTTATTACATGGATTTTATCCAAAAACTGAGGACAGATAAATATACTGTAATATATGCATTAATTACAGCAACTTCTTAATTTGTCAAGGAGTATCTTGCATTATCAAAAAAAGGTAGCAACAAACCCCAGCTTTCAAAAATGCTGTGGACTGCCTGAACATGAGTCGTCCAGACTGCGAACAAATATTTTGGAATCTGTAAAGATGGTAAAGATGGTTTAGTCGCTGTTGTTGAACGTGAGTTTTAATTGCTTGTATTTGATGTTTTTGGGTAATGATTGAGTTGGAAACGTGATTGAATTATTGATGTTGTAATGTGTAATGCATATCATGATATTTCGGATGTAAGATGTATGTAAGTATTGTATTTGTTTTAGTTGCTATTTAAATTGCTCGTTGACGATGTTTTTTTAGGTAATGATTGAGTTTGGATTTTGATATTGGCAAATGCATGTTATTTCGGCTAATTATGTTAAACCATAGTCAGTATCTCTAATATTAATACGTGAGGGGTTTTTTTGGAAACAAAACTCCTCCGTTATTTCTGGACCGATTTTAACGTTTGAGGTGTCTAATAATTCGTCTCAGAAAATACAAGAAGCGTTTATTATTTCAAAGCGCTATTAAATAGCGTGAGCATTTCAATTAGTTACATAAGCATTTAGTGTGGTCTTTTAAACTCGTCGAAAATTATGACTGCTATAAAGATATGTGTCTTCAAGAACATTCATCCTCTCCATTATGTATATTACCAGTCTTAAGTTGTGATTTAGGCTAAATCATTCTGTTAAGGGTTTCTATGAAAGGATTGAAACCCCGACCACTCAAAATGTGTTCGCAATCAGGAATCCTCCCCACCCCACGGACGACCCCCTCCACCTCGTAGACCCAAACATGTTCGCAGTCTGGACTGTTCGCAATCAGGACTGTTCGCAATCAGGAGGACACCCTTTGTCCGGGTACAAATACAATGCACAATTTATAGAATCAGTTTGTTTTGTTTTCAGTTGCATATATGTACACTATGTTCTTATGCGCATTTCACCACAAGTGTACACAAAATATCATCGTGTGCTTAACAAATTCTTAAAAAGTCAATATATGCAGCAGTAAAACGACCCCTTCAATATAACACTTGTCAATCAAACTTAAAATCTATTTCTCAAGGTGAAATAATTCCTGCTTGATGGTTTTAGTAAACTTTCGGGTTTTCAAATAGTCTTCAACGCCTCCCTATAAATTGCACGACAAGATCAAATCCCCAAAACAACCGACTGGTAACTTCTCATGAATCTCTCACCATTAAGACAAAAATTAGCAAATTCCCCATCTGTTAACTCTTTGGAAAACACTCTATTCGTACGGCAACTCTACGCATTCCCAAGAAATTTCGAGATAAGTAGGCGAAAAGTTTGAAAGCCTCAATAAATAACAGAAGGCGTAAGAAGCTGGAAGCAGGCCAAGGTTAAGTGTCGCCCCCGGCCGCCAGGGGCGCGACGGTCAGTGGCCGCTGAGGCGGTGATTCAGCAGGGAATGTCTACAAATATGATGTCATCCGGCGTCATCTTCCCGGCTCATCTAAATAATTACCAACAGGTTTGGAGATCCACTTTCAAGTGAGGAGGTTAATGTACGACCAACTGATGAATTTGAGGGACAGCATTGCACCTTGTTGTACTGGGTACAACAAGGGTGAATTGAGTACAATGGTGGGATTGGTAATGTTATGAGATATTCAGACTAAAATGAATAAGTCAGCGTATTTGCCTTGTGATTCGATTATAACACGATTTGTTTCTTAGAAAGGTAATGGCAAGAAAGTTCCATAGTAACGGCTGTTTCACTTTTGTTCCGCGCTTGAAGGCTAATTTCTTCACATCACTTTTGTTCCGGGGGTAAGCTATTAGATTTCGGGGCCAGCCCAAACATCACTTTTGTTCCGCGGACATCTCTCTTGTTCCGCGCGAGAGGGGGCTGCACTCTCCCTCGTCCAAATCCTCTCTTTCATCCTCCTCCTAGATATTTCTCCTTAACAAAATATCAATAATTTAAAAAAATCAACCTAACCTAACATATGACAGAAAGAATTAGGAGGAGAGCGAAAGAGAGTATTTGGGGGAGGGAGAGTGCAGCCCCTCTCTCGCGGAATAAGAGAGATATCCGCGGAATAAAAGCGAAGTTTCGGCCGGCCCCGAAATCTACCTGCTGACACCCGGAACAAAAGTGATGTGAATAAATTAGCCTTCAACCGCGTAGCAAAAGCGACACACGCATCGTAACTTCCATTTTACGTCCCATTATAGAGGGGTTTCCTTATACTAGGGAACATCCAAACCCAAATCTAGTTTTCGTCTTTGGGTTTCATACAGACACCTGATTTCTATTGCATAATCTCTATAATTGACAGATTTTAAAAGTATCAGTTGTGAAATGTGAAACCCGATTAACAATTTCTAATTGTGAACAATTCCAGGATATAGTGTGACGGCCAAACAAGTGACACACGTGCTTTAGGGTGGGATTTATTCAACAAAACTACTTTTCACCTCTGACTTTTAAACTTTATATCGTCAAGCTCCCTAACTCAAACCGTCAACTCCAACACCCTCGTCGACTCAGCCCAACGTCTACGAAACGAAATCAATGCGACCTAATAATTCTACATTCTTGATCCGATCTGAAACCGCATCAAGGCGATCGGAATATCACTAACAGATGGTTTTGCGTTATTTACGACGGCCGAAACGGCGGAATCGGAGCCGGATCAGGAATCGGGAATCGGGCGATCTCTGCAGTGTTATTGTTTGACGTGAAGATACAGATCTGTTCACGAGAAGGCCTCACGGACCCACCGAGCGTTGACCCAATGGAATAGTGTAAGTCGAACAAGTGACACAGCGTACTTTAAGATAGGATATATTGATCAAAATTCCAATTTCTCCGACCTGTATGGTTCGCAACGTCATTGGCTACAACGAAAGATCGCCACTACATTGCCAAGGGAACAGATTCTCTTTATTTACTAGGCTTAGGACACTCCATCTAGTAATGTTAAGATATTGGCGAATCCTTTATTATTTGTCAATCTTTGAAGCCGGAATTGATTAGAAAGATGGATTTGGATTTAGACCCCTTTAACTGATGGCGCAACACATTATCTGTTAATGCCTCTTATCGCCTTCCATTTCGTCTTTCCATTGTCTGTACGTTATTTTAGACTGTCTAACCTAACCTATCCTCATGGGGCCGGCTTACCCATGCATTACCCCCTTATAGATTTATATAGATCTATAGAGATATATCTACCTCTATATAGATTATATAGAGACTTATAGATCCACAAAGTGGTATACATATGTATACTTTGTGACATATGTCGATAATATTTCAAATCTAAGAATTAAACTACGCCAAAGAGGTAATATTACTATTCATAAAATTTAGAAATAGACAGTCTGTGGAAGTTGCTCTTAGCGAAACAAAGACTTTAATTTTACAAGTATGCCACTCAAAAGAAATTCCAGGTAAAAAACTACACTAAACCGTGTAATTTTCGTATTTTTTAGAACGATGCGTTTAAAATCAACTTTACATCATACTATAACCAAAGAGGTGTACTTAAATGTCCGCCAACGGCATATATAAATAAACCTACACTTAAAACAATCAACAACTGAAAACACTATTTTCCATGCTTTTTAAATTATTCTTTGATCAATTCATCTTAGCAATACAAACTGTTCCATCTATAGAACATCAATAACACAAAACGCAACCACCCAAAACTAGTCCTAATTGATAACTAGAAACTATTTATGCGTCTAGAGAACAAAAGCACGAAGATCTCCATGAAATTGTACCAAAAAATAAAAGCGCTTCCAATGACGTTCTCACGACTGCGGTCCAAAATAATAATGCATAATTGAAGGTTCTGGTCAGTATCAATAATGACCGCAAGTTGAGCGAGTACTGCATCACGAAAGCGTTTTGCTGACCCCTTAAGGGAGTTGTTTGGCAAATATTAAATGAGGCGATTCTTGCGTTGAGGCCGTCATTTAGCCGGTAATCTCCTCTTGTTGTATGAGACAATGCTGTGGTTAGTTGGAAGAGGCATCTTTGTTGTACGCCTTCGACGAAACTGAAATCGTTTTCCTACACGAATGCCTAATAAGGTTCGTAAACGAATATGAAGCGTTTCAAACATAAAATGCCTTTAAAATACACTTTGGTGAGCGATAGTCGTTTGGGAAATTAATAGTTTTTTAGTTAAAAGTTACATAATTTTGAAAATTGTTTAATAACTTTGAAAATATTTTTCGAATTAAATTTTAGTTTCAAAAGATATAATGTTACATGGCCATTGCGGTTATGTATTGATAGCAAGGTTTGGTTGGTATAGAACTTGAAAATAACTTTCATTATTCATTTTAATTTTCGTAAATATCTGTAGCATAAAAAGTATCCAAAATTACTTTCCTTTTTTATTTATTCGTTCGTCCTTTTTAAGCACTATTACAGATTGTACCTACTGCTAAAATTTCATTTTGAACACTATCTTGCAAAGGGTTAAACGAAACGTCGTAAATATCGTGTAAAAATAACATTATTAAAAGGTTAGTGTCTGTTAATTCAATCAGCCAACGCTATCTATTTGGTTATACTTCCTGGAAGCCTAAAACACTCGGAATGTTAACATTTTGTATCGCATTCTTTGACGAATGCTGCCGCACTCATGGACGATTTAGGAATTTACAAACTTCAAGACTAGAAATTTTGGAAACCGGTTTGCTGAAGTTTTGAGTTCCTGAAAGCGGCAGCTTTTGATGTATATTTACTTGATGAGCATATAAAATTCCTACACTCTTAACTTGAAGCTTGATATTTAAAATGAATATAAATCAGGCATAACCA